ACAGTGTCGCAGGTCATATTTCTGTAGATTTTTCATTACAATTGCACCGTTTTCCCCATAATTTCAACAAATGCTTTAAACTAAAACTACAAACAAACAAAAAAACTAAAGTTGTTCCATTAGAAACGGTCACTGTTAAGCTTTTTAATTATTGATGTTTGGGTTTTTGTTTAAGGTAAGATTAGCTGAAGAGTCTCTCTGCCCTAAAGACAGCGGAAAGCATCCGAACAGGAGGCAGCACCAACTTGTCTGGAAACTGCTCAGGACCATCAGGCCCTACAGAAAGTGGTGGACCATTAGACCTACACTCCCCATTTTAGAGGACTTGCACACCAGACGGTGCAGAACCAGAGCTAGTAGGATAATGAAGAACCACCTCCAGCAACAGACTATTCCATCTCCTACGCTCAGGTAAATACATCAGTAGCCACAAGTGCAACACAGAGAGGCTCAGAAAAAGCTTCTTTGCTCAGACCATCAGGATTGGTGACCTCTGACCTCTGTTTATCCTCTGCCTTGTCAAGCACATTGGCCTCTGTTAATCCTTTGCATTTTAGTAACAAAGTTCTTTGCATAGTTTGCCTTACAACTGTGACACACCGCATGTGCAGTTTACATTTTTTATACACTGAAAAAAAATGCTTACACCACCTACACACCAGGCTAATATACACAAACATGTAATACTTAAATTAGAGGTTTGTTATTCAACTCATTTGTATTTATATAACGCCAAATCATAACAGAAGTTACCCAGTTTTTTTTTTACCTAATTGTTATTTGTACCTTTATCCTAATTATTAGAATTAACAAAACATTAACTACACATAGTTGGCATATGTAACAAATTAAACCTTTGATTACTTGGATCACTGGGTATTTTAATTAAACATCAGACCCTGTTGTACTTCAATTAATTAAATATTAGAATTACAAAATGAATACTGTGCAACACGTTACCCCTATAAATAACTATTATAGATGCCACTGACAAGACGACTGCACCAGCATCAACCCTGCAGGTTTATAATTTTTTTTAATAAATAAAAGCAACTTTAAGCTAAATAAAGTCAAGGTAAATACCAAGTATCAATCTGTCACAGACCTGCAAGTAAACCTCAAGTCAACATGAACTATATACAGTCACACTAAATAAACCAACTGTGTGATTAACAATCCTTGGGCGTGGTTTATCATTAAAATAAGGAGTCACGTGACTTTAATACAAGCTGGTCTATTGTTCCATTGTTGAGAAATGTTCTTTCCATTTATAGCACAACATGGACCTTATCACTTGACAACATTCCACAGTTGGGCAATCAATCAGTTTTTGACTCATCTCTGGAAACTACAAGTGACGAGTTTCTACAAGTTGCACAGTCATGCTTGTATGGGGCTAAATTCCTTGCACCTCATGCACATAAATGTTAACTCATCCATTCATGTGTGACACACAACCTGCATCATGTGCACAAAAATCTGAATCATGGTGTCAAACCTATTGATACCTATGTTTTGCTTTGGATGGTTTTGACACATTACCCCAACAACCACTGCATGTTTTATGACTCATGGACAAAAGCTCTGAACCTGGTAAGACATATTCCAAAGCCGCAAGATAAGAGTTGCTGAAGAAGTACATACATAAAGCCATGATGTACCATTTACCTCCCTCTGCAGGATATTTGCAATCACTGAGCACTGATACACCTGAGCACTCTGTGGTTTCCTACTTGCAAGGTGAACACTTATTCAACATTATTCATCAAACTCTACCTTGTAAATATGTCATATTAAATCTCAAAAGGCTACACATACTTTTTCTGTAATAATCAGTTCAGTAGCGTAAAAAGAATTTTCCTTGAAGTTAATTATACATGTTTACCCACTTCATGCTGTAAGTATACTGGTGTCCCCCCTTTTTTAGCTTTGACTCTTTAAAACCCAACAAACCTTCTTGTGCTCAAGTCTATTTTAGTCACTTACCACCAAACTTACTGAATCCTCCACGATCGGCCATTCTGATGAGGAGGAAGAGAAAACGACACGCATTGAAGGCAGGTGCTGACAGCGATTTCTCTCAATGGGTTTGTGGGTAACCTTCACTCTCAGACTCTGAGTTAAACCCACCCTTCTTCTTTTGGCACTTGTCCTGAACCCCTACTTGACCTTGTTCAGAGTTTCTTGAACATACCTCGGGGACAAGAGGCCAGTTTAAAGACCTTGTCATTTTATGTTTACAAGCTGATAAAATTTTACCCTAAAGTTCTACCAAGCCTTTAAGTGACTTGTGTGCACCCATTTTATTTCACCACATAACTTGGTTGTGTGTCAATTAACCAACCCAATCATTAACACCGTTGATCCCTGGATGGGTGTTGAGTATTTTCTTTAGGTCTCAGATAACCTTTTTATTCTTTACACAAATTGAAGCAAATCTAAAACAGATGTTCTTTGGTGCTTTTCCCCCCATGATCTCCCAAATTATTAGTATTTTCAAATCATTATTTCCTCCAACTACAATTTGACTATTAACGGTCTGTGGACTTCCCCAGGTTTGCAATATCCCAAATGATGGCTTAAGAGCAAAAGCCAGCCTGGAGAGAAGGTAAAAGCCTAGGAGAAGATTCAAAGATTGATTAAAGCAGAGTATGACACAGTGATCCTGTAAGGGCTGGTTGGGGAGGTAGTGGTAACAGGTGAGAAAGGCAGGTGATGGTAATGTATTGTGGTGTGTTAGTGTGTGGGCAGTTAACGCACACAGTCTACTTGCCATTTTGGAAAAATCTTGCAGACAAAAAGACAACTGTGAGGAATAAAAAAACGCCATATTGGTGAGCCGAGGCTTACAGGCCAAGCTAGATTTTTTTTTTTTTAACACAACTTTCAATCCTTTTAGGGCACATTTGTCCTTAAAATAGAGCTATACCTCTGATTTTCTTTAAAACCTTTTGTTATCTTGTGACTTTTAGAAACGAAGACACTTTATTATACCAAGATATCACATCTATCATGAAAAGAAGGACATAAGCATCAGTTTATATTCCTCCGTTCTCAAATCTTAAGCCAAGATCACTCAAAAACATTTTTAACTCTTCAATATATAAAGATAAAAATGTATAATTTAACAAACTTTGTTGAACAACACATGAGAGTATCGGCCGATTAGTGCTCAGTGCCATATTTAAAGTATACTGTGAGGGACTGAGTTCCAAAATTCAAATAGTCCATGATGGATGAGAGGGCATTTAATGAAATGGTAAACTAGCTCGTCTACGAGTTCATCACCAACATTATGAGGTTACAAGAGAGTACATGAGATAACGTACAACCTCTAGAAGAAAAACAAAAACATCAACTTACCATACCAAAACTGTTTCTGCTTCACAGCTTCACTCTTCTTGTAAAATCTTTGTTCTGTGATTTGTCTCTGTTCTGTATAATTTATTGGGCTTATCCAACGTTACCCTGACCCAAAATCTACTTCTCTTTTTTTTGCATTTATATATTTTTCTTGAACTTACACATAAATACAGTTTGTTTACGTTTCCTGAAATCTAAACAGGAAGTAGCTTGCATATTGCAAATCAACAGTCAGCTGTTGCATTTCTGAGCTGCTCGCCAACAGCCACCCAAAGTTCAAAGTCAACCGTGTTTGATGCGACAGGTTTAGTTTTCCTTTTTTGTCTTTAACAGAACTTTGCATTGCTGTTGTTTGTAACCTGGCTTTCATGCAATGCTGAGCTTGAGTGTGATCATACCGTCCTCTCTCTTTGTTCGAGCACCTACATCGCTGTGTTTGGATCATCACACTGGCAACGGACAGTCTGCAGTACACAAGGTTTCTTGTGTTTATAGTAATGTGACAAAGGCAACAAGTCCATTAAAGGGACAAAGATGTGATATCATGTACGTAAGTGACTGCAGTAACACCACCACATACAGCCAAATCATGGACAGCCTTATATAGATACATGTTGCAGTTGAATTAAATCGGGTTTGTTAGTTTTTGTCTCTTTTACATAGAGACAGTGATCTGGTAGCACAGATGTTTGCTTTCAAAAGCTTCATATTTTTGCTATTGACGTTTATAAATGTAAATTGTAGTGAACCTTTTTATGATTACATTTTGGCTTTTCCACATTTTGTCTTTCTGCAGATGATGAAATGACTGACGGTGAGGGAGGGGTCATGCTTCATAACAAAACTGTAATCTGTAAGATCTCGAACAGAAACCGAGATAGAAGCAAATCTGTTTTCCACGCAGTGATTTACTCTGGTTCATGTCGTAGCTCTTTCATTGAAGGATCCGTTTTTAAAGCTTCACATGACTCAATAGCATGCTCACTGCAACTTCACACAAGTACCCTCTTGTTTGGGTGAGGATATGGTTTCTGACCGGCATTCAGCCACAAGTAGGGTTTGAGTAGCGTTTCAATTTTATCGATTCAGATTCTAGTTCAAATTATGGAATAAGGTTCTTATTGAATCTCGGTTCCGATTCCAACCCCTTCACTATAAATCTCGTCACCACTCGGTGACCTTCATCCTCTTGCTCATCTTCCCCTTTAGGTCTAAAGTGAAAGGTCTCATTTGTAGACATCATTCTTTTCCCTTCAGTATAAAAAGGTGAACGTCAGCTCACCTGTGTTTTGTACCCGAGCGTGAGACGTTGCTACTACAGCTGGGTAGCAATGCTTTGTTGACATTCTGCGTAACAAGTGACCGGACATCGTGTAAGTGCAACTTTTATGGCCTGTAAAACGCTCACTGCCGTTTAATCAGGAGCGAGACTGACCCACAGTTCTTAGAAATTTTTGCAATGGTTCCAACTTGGAAGCGGTTCTCGATATCCAACCCTGGCCACAAGAACCTTAATATAATGAGCCCATCACAGCAGACTGCGAACCCCTATATGATATGGCATTTTACCCAGTTTACAAGCACAACCTTTATGTTGTGCTTGGACACATGCAGCCGTGTTTCGAACACATTCAGTTTACTTTTGTGAGCTCTGGGCATTTTGTGATTGTAAACTTCAAGATGTTGCGTCCAGTAGGCTGGGCCATAATTGAAAGTTATTACTTTCAGTGGTATCATACCATGATGACATGATTATATTGTGTTATTGTTTTAAGAACTTCTTTGGTTTTAATGAACGATTCCAAGCAATAATTAATTCCCAGAATAAATTACTGAAGGTTTATTTCACACACAGAGTTTTTTCTTGATGAAATGCGTAACAGGGGAACACAGTTCACTGCATAACTATCAACTTATATTTTTTACCATAACTTTCAATGTATATTTTTATGATATAAAAGTGTCTTATTAATATTTGTAATATTGATTTTTTTATTGCATCGCACAGCAACAGCATTCCAGCAATGATGGGTTTGTGTCTGCATTAAGTCTGGGCAGATCCGTGTGTTTACATCGCTGGTGCTTGGTGCTGAAACACAGTGGATGGACACCGTTTCCCAAATGAAGAACTTCGGTGCATACGTGTATGTATATATATATGTATATAAATGAACTGTTTTGGCCTATATGGATTTATTTTATATGTTAGCATATTCTAAATGTAATTCTCTGATATGTTCTGTGTAGCAGGAAGGGACTACATTTCATATAATAAATAAATTACCAAAAAGAAGTCCTGTTTTAAGTTTTGAGTATTGATAGAAGTAATCCAACACTGATCTGTCTCACATTAGATCAAGGTCCGGGCCCCTGAACACTCTACTTAGTGCATGCACTCTCTGCTGCTGTTGTGTGCGTGCATGCAGAGATCACCGCGTTAGTTCATACAATATATTACATATAATCTTAAACAAATTCTCTTATGATTAAGTAATAAAAGATTAAAAAGAAATACCTAATGTTTGGCAAATCACTTTGGTAATAAAAACGTATTCAGAAGTAGCCTATTGATGTATAGGTAGTCACCTTATATATCACGACACATGGCTTCTCCCTCTGTCACAGCACAGCAGCAGCTTTTAATAATAAATAATAGGATAAATATAAGTGATTCCTGCCCTGGTATTATTTGGTAATGGATCAGAACCGATTTTATGTTATTGCTCAGCCCTATTGGGCAAATACCCAGAGTTGCAGCACAGCACTCCGACTGTATCTGTCAATAGTTTGACTCCAGGAGGTGCTGCGAATCACAGACAAACCTTTAATGTGATGTATTCAGAAAGTTTATGTACAAAACAAAACAAGATTTGTGCAGCGGTCACTGCAGACAGAAAACACATCAATTGCTTTGTGGCAATTTAAGAATTCATTTTCCTCAAAAGCAAGTGGGAGGGGAAATTCTGACACATCAGCTCGCACCTCTCAATTGCTTCAGCATGTAGCTATGAACGTGGAACAGTTCTCTCTCTCCTATTTAATTTTCCTCTACACAGTTCCACATGTAGCCAAAAGGTGAGGAAACATTTACATGCATCACTGCACTCAGATTCAGAGCACTTTCATAAGTCCAGAGGACCTAAAACAGGACTGATAACATGGGACACTGGAGGCTTTTTAAACTTACCCCATGCCTCCTCTTCCTCTTGGTCCCCTCGGCTGCTTCGGTCAAAACCGCGATCATATCCGCCACCACCGCGACCTCCAAATCCACCCCCACGGCCCCTGCCACCACGGCCATCCTGACCTAAGTAACCTCCATCAGGACTGTCATACCCTCCACCTCCTCCTCCGCTCAATGGTGGGCTTTCGTCTCCATATCCTGAGAGAGAGAGAATCAGATGTCAACAGATTTACCCGTGTGACAGTGCTCCACACACACGCCAACACTGTACTGTGAAAACCAAAGCTATGAGGACCAGCTACACTGAGGGGTACTATCTGCAATAGAAAACGGCGCACGGCCAAACCGAGTCGAGTCGGTGCTGGTAATGGAAAAACAATAGTAATCCAAGTCACTGTGAATAACTGTGTGGCTGGTACACTTAGGCTGTTCAAACTAATTTTCAAAGTTTTCTGAGTAACAATCACACTATCAGAATAGACATTTCAGAAGCAGTGTGTGGAAATTTTTGTGTTTTCTGTGAAATAATCTGCAGAATATGCCAAATCAGGGTCCAAATTAAATTTCACTCGACATCAAGCAGCCTGAGGGCAAACCTGATACCGTAGATACAGTGCATGTTGAGGTGAAGGAAGTGGAAATGAGGGGATATTGAGGTGCGTAAGGACTGAAAACTTACATTTGAAATAGTAACAACAATACCCACAGACCTGACTGTAAACAATTTTCTCTGGAACTACTTTTCAAATAAAGAAATGGTCATTTTTGTTCCCTGGTGAGTTCATGTTAAGTTCTTCTCACTTGCAAAAGTGCATTAAAAAAAGAGAATATAAACACATCCCTTACCTCCACTTTGGCCATACTGGCTCTGCTGACTGTAGCTCTGTGGCGGGGGGGAGTTGTAGCTTGGAGGCTGGTTGTAGTGACCTCCTCCTCCGTGTTGGGGTGTTGTTGGTGGCTCCCGCTGCCCCCATAGCCACCAGTCTGACCGCCACTGCTGCCGTAACCACCTCCACTCTGTCCACTGCTCGGTGGCTGGTTGTAGCCAGGGGCCTGCGAGTTACCTTCATATCTGTTGAAGGTGGGGAGAAGAGAAGCAGATAACACATCAACCAAAGCTACACACATCTACACCCCTTCATAGAGATCTTTTTGCATCTTTTAGCTCTGTTTACATTGACAAATCGTTCCGTTAGTTCCTCAGACAGCTGCTATACCTGACTAATGTGCATCAGAAGGAATCGCATGCCAGAAAGTACGTTTCAGTACTACGACAACAGGTAACTGTGAGCTGTGAGTCATACATGCGTTCTGACTGCATATTTAACAGGGTTTTAATATGGTGATTTATAAATAAATCAGTGTTTAGGAAGTCCAGTTAAACTTAGAGGAATTTCCTGATGGCTAGTGTAACTTGGTTATCTGCTATAGAAAGAATAAATTCCTGATGAGTGAAAATTAGTTAGCCCGTTTATGCTCATATTTCATCACCTACATCCCTCCGTAATTTCTACTTTACTGTCCAAATGGGGCATAACAAATTAAAAGTAGAGAAGCAGAAGCTGACTGTGTCTTACCCTGCAGAGGAGGAAGAGGAAGGTGGCTGCTGGCTGTACCCAGAGAATGATGACTGCTGGTTGTAGCTCATGTTGGAAGGCTGGTTGCTGCTGTTGTAGCCTCCAGAGCTATAGGGCTGACTGGAATGATTATAACCACCACCGCCGCCGCTGCCGCCCCCCTGGTTAGAGGGCGGAGAGCTGTATCCTCCTGGGAGAAGAAAGGATACAGCAGCACATGGAATTAAAGTTACACCACAGTGTGCAACAGAAGAACAGCGTGGTTTCGGGCCGTTATTGAATCTTCCTCTACCTGACGGGGGCTGACCATAGCTGCTATATCCTCCCTGGTTGTAAGAGCCGGAGCTGCTGTCAGAGCTCTGGTTGTAGCCTCCATAGCCCTGCTGGCTATAACTCTGACCAGAAGACTGACCATAGCCCTGGTTAGCACCGCCGCCGCCGCCTCCACCACCACCACCTCCTCCACCACCGTAGGACCCATAGCTGCAAGAGGTAAAAAAAAAATAAAACATCCAAACATGAACACATCGCTTTTCCATAACTTACCAAGAATATACAAACCTTGCCTTAACCCAAATGTATGTTTGTAGTCGAGGTGTTTATATGAGAAAGATAGGAGCTCTTGACGTATTATACAGGAAGTATGATATTGATATACGTAAACAAGTCTTAAAAATCTCATGCATAAACTCCCCATATTGGAAAAGAACTGGTTTATGATTGAGTATAACATTACTTACCCCTGGGCAGACGTCTGGGAATAATCTATGGAATAAACAAAACTGAGTGTTAAATATATACATACGCATTAGATTAGTCTTTTTTAGTAAAGCACATATCTAATAAGAGTAATCCAAATGATACAGAGCTTCACTCACACCGGAATCACCCTCAACATATGATTAAATAATAATAATAACATCCAGTTGTATGCTGGTTCCTGTTTGGCAAATATGAGCTACGCAAAAGAAATGAAATGAGACACGTTTTATAGTCTGTTATTGTTACACATAAATAAAATGGGACCAACCAGCAGTCTAATAATAACTGTAATACAGATGAAGCTGTTACGAAACGTGGTTTGATGCATCCCGAGCCAAATTTTCAAGCAGCTTTCTTTAATTTAACGCCGTTTTGTTGAGTTTAACGTGATGTGCTTTCGTTAATAAGAATAATAAGCGTTAATGTTAAACATCATCTGAACCGAACCGAGTTAAACCCGCAGCCTGAGAGCAGCAGAGAGGCAGAGAGGCAGAGAGGCGGAGCCGCCATCTCTCAAACTGGGTCAGTAGCACAAGCGACCGACTTAGCTTCATGCTAACTGTTAGCTCGCCGGTAGGTTTTTCCTCCACTCGGGCAGCTCCTTCTCCTTCTGCTTCTCTCCTTCTCTAATGTAACCGAGTGATTTGAATATGTGAAAACGTCCGGCCTTCAAACAGTAACGTTAATATAAACATAACGTTAATTAGCGTCTTGACATTAGCTAACTTAGCTCGCCGGTTAAGTTAACGTTGCGTCTTGGTGAAGATATTTAAGTATTAGCTCACGAGCTTTTTAACCTTCACTGGTTTTAAACGACGTTTTGTACTGAATCTTACCGTTAGACGACATTTCGATGAAACGGCCTTTAACCTATAAAGCAATTGATCAACCAGCGCGTTGTTTACGGACTGAGATGGATGAAGGGACACCGGGGACCGGGGCAGCTTCACAGCCCGGTTACTGCAGTTCCTCCTGCGGACACAAGGGGGCGGGCAGCAGCGTAGCTCCTCTTCTTCTCCTCCGGCAGACTGTTTAGCGCATTGCTGCCTCCCACCGGTTTAGTATCAACAATGCTACTTTTTACTTTCATGCTTCCTGGGAATGCCTAAAGATTGTGCAATTTTGGAGTGATCTTAAAATGAGAATTGATGGTTTTTATCGCTTGCAAGTCAACATTAAACCCAGGCATTTGTATTTTAGGATTAGGATATAGCCTATAGAGTGACTGCTGGGTCTGCACACATCTAACGTCACCTAAACTCCATAACACAAGTTTATGTTCCCCCTTGGCCACACAAAGCAATCCCAGTCCCGGCTGTTCTCATCTGTGTCAACGAGCTACCACGTGCCATCAGAGCAGGGGCTTCAAGAAACTCCTGAAAACTCTTCAGAGAACACTTCCTCTCATAACACCTCCAAACTCTAACATGCACTTCCTGTGCCGCTCTTCTTCTTACAGTTCTCTTGTATTGATTGCACTATTCATTAACTACTTCCCCTACTTCTTCTTCCCTTAAGTATTTACCCGTTGATGCTGTATGCGGTAATAGCTCTTACAAGTATTGTCACTTGTAGATCTCCTGCTGTATTGATGCTCTGTTAATGCTTGTATGTTGTTCCTGAAATGAGATTTGCTTTAGATAAAAGCGTGTGCCAAATAAGTAAATGTAGATGACACAACAAAGCAGGCTGTCAGCAGGTACAAGGATATATTGAGAATCTGCTGGTACGCTGGAAGGTTAAGTCTTCTTCAGATGTGGGTTGCTGAGGAGCCCCCGGATGTGTCACTTTGCTTTGAAAAACTCCTGAATGAAATCCCTCTTGAAAGGTTATTATACTTTTATTATTAATATTATATATGTATTGAGGTTGATTCACAAATTAAACTTCAGAAGTACATGAATATATCAGCTCAAAATTGTAATGTTTAACGTCTGTTTGTAACTAATAATATTATAACACACTGTATGTGAACAAAGCTGCTTCCCTTGAGTGAGTGTTTGTGTGATTATGTGAGATTGTGTGGGGTTTTTTGTTTTGCTTTGTTTGTTTGTTTGTTTGTTTCTGCATGGTCTTTTCGTGTAATGGTGATCATGTTTGTGTATGTTTGGAGGAGGGGGCATGAGGTGGTATATGATCATAATCAAATTGGAAGAATAATTGTGTACAAATGCACTCTTGATCTATAGGAGCACTTTGATTTGTAAAACTTATTTATGCAATATAAAGAAATAAAAATATAGAAATTGCTACTTTTGTCGTCTGAGAGCTACATCTTGAGAGACCTGTAGTTTTAGGGAAGTGTAACGTTACCACAACAGAACATCAAGGCTAATTTTTGCTCCTGAGTGAAAGTTGACGAAACCAGATGGTTAAAACGTGGTTATAAATTATTCTTTATGGTCAGAACAAACAAAAAAAGTGGATTACTGCACAAATTAGAGGTAGAACATTCAAAACTATTATGATAAAATCTTTTTACAACAAATATGCACGAGTAAAATTAAGTAAAAAATTTTTCCTCAACAAAAGAAAATAATATCTTGATAGAAACATGAAGTGCTGATTCAAATCAAATCAAATAAATAATAAATAATTAGATAAGCCACATTTATAAAAGACTTATCCAGACAAAAGGCAGTTTCAAAGTGCCTTTTAAAGACATGTACATGGAAGTACCCAAGCCTAGTACCTTTAGTACGTATATAGACTTTTCAATGAGGCAGAACAAAGCAGGCCTCCAGAATCTGATGTTCACAATACAAGTTGTGTAGTGCAGTAGTGTAAAGTCTCACCGCAGCGTTCTTGTTTTCCCGTCACCGTGACAGCAAAGTTTCCACAGAAGCAGCCTGACTTATCTCAGGTAAGTAACAACAGAGCAGACGATGAAGGTTTCGCCTAATTCAGAGGGAAATGTTATGTAACTTTAACTTTTTTGTCTGATTAATATTAGAAAATTTAATAAACAAATTAATTATGATGTTTGATTTTTAAAACTGTATTGATCACTTGGTGAATATCACCTGGCTTTATATAGTGAAAACAATAAGCCCCACCTTTCCTAATTGCAACTTCAAATTTATATAAATCCCTTTCACGCATAGTGCTCACCACAGTGGACAGCTATTCAAAAGCCATTCACTTGAATGGGCAGAGGTTCTGATAGTTGCACATCAGTGGACGCTAGTGTGTCATGCCATACACTGCCACCCTCTGGTGAGCCGTTGTAAGTGCAACTTAAATTCGTCAAAACCAAGATGGTTTTATGTTACACTTGCAGTTTTTGTAACAAAAACAATATTTTGTGCAGATTAGTTCCATTATGTGAGTATCATTTAGTGTCTTGCAGTAAGTAATAGAAAGGCATTCAGGATAGCAGAGCAGATTCAATCAGAATCAAGTCAGGATATTAGGCGCGTTCGAGATGACGGCAGCAGACTTTCGCTGACTTGATAGTCTAACGTGAGCTGCAGGTGTATGGAGGACCGATCCTGACACAGTCAGAAATAAATACAGAAATAAATGAATGCTCAATAAATAAATAAGCATCCAATTAAATACACAAAAAATAAAGTAAATAAATAAATGTAGGTAGTAATTAAATTCTAC